GCTGGATTGAGGAAAGGAAGCGAGAAGCTGATAGACAGCCAAGTGGCCCAGCTGGCGGCTGCGGGCATCAACGTGGCGGTGGTGTGGGGGGAGGTGGACGAGGGGACCCTCGCGCTGGCCGACAAGCACCGCATCGTGGTGGTCCAGGTCAAGACTCGGAGGGAAATCGTCTACCTGAGTGAGGTGCTGGGCACACCGGTGCTGCCCCACCTGCTGCCTCCCCGGAAGCCCGGGCGGTGCCAGAGGGTGTACTCGGGGGAGCTGGGGGGCGGGCTGGCCGTGGTGTTCGAGTGGGCGGGCCCCCACACACCTGTGCTCACCTTGGTCCTCAGGGGGCCCACCACAGACGGGCTGCGCCAAGCCGAGCAGGCGGCCTACCACGGCATCGACGCCTACGACCAGCTGTGCCAGGACCCCAGGGTGCTCCCAGGGGCGGGGGCCGTGGAGATGGCTCTGGCCCGAGTGCTCTCAGATAAGGGCGGCGGGCTGGAAGCGCCCAACGGCCCCGCGTTCCTAGCATTCGCTCGGGCCCTGAGGGTTCTTCCTACCACCCTGGCAGAGAACGCAGGCTTAGCCGTCTCGGACGTGATGGCAGAAATGAGCGGGGCCAGGACCCCAGGGTGCTCCCAGGGGCGGGGGCCGTGGAGATGGCTCTGGCCCGAGTGCTCTCAGATAAGGGCGGCGGGCTGGAAGCGCCCAACGGCCCCGCGTTCCTAGCATTCGCTCGGGCCCTGAGGGTTCTTCCTACCACCCTGGCAGAGAACGCAGGCTTAGCCGTCTCGGACGTGATGGCAGAAATGAGCGTTTTCCACCAAGCGGGGAACTTCCTAATGGGAGTGGGAGACGAAGGGGTAATAAACGTGGCCCAGGAAGGGGTGTGGGACACCCTGATGGCCAAGGTGCAAGGGTTTCAAGCCGCAGTGGAAGTGGTGCTGCAGCTCGTCACCGTGGACGAGATCATCATGGCCAAGGACGGCCTGGCACATCCGGGGCCCCCGAGTGCCGACCCGGGGAAGGCGAGCAAGAACGTGCCGGCGCTGCGTAAGAAGCAAGGTCCTTAAAGTGGGGCTGCCTAGGGAGGCCTCGGGATGAATGTTCTGACCCACTCCCTGCGTGTGTGGGGCGTTTAGAAGCTGTTCCTTAAGATAAAAACGTGAAGGGACAGAAAAGTTACTTTCTGACTTAGTTCTTTCGAATCTTGACTTTTTTCATATCCTATCTCTATCCGATTCTGTTCCTTTCCTACAGGAAGAACAGAATTCAATTCTATTAAGATTTTTAAATGATAAGTAGACCTGGGCTTTAGAGATGCCAAAAAAAAAAAAAAAAAGTATGCTCA